GTTCTCGAATTTCATATCGGTTTTTTAATTTTTCAAGCCACCCAGCACTCGCTTTAAAATTTGTGTTATCGTAAGCTTGATTAGAAAAAAATCGGGGTTTTTTCAATAGCAGGTTGGGCTTAAAGGGGTTTTACTGCACTCTTATTTTCTGTTTCCTTATATTGAAAATCAGTAGCAAAACACGTTCTGGATGCGAAAAACTGCAACTTTTTACAGATAATGTATGCCAAGGCTTAAAGCAGCAACAACGCTACACGTAAAAACTGATGATGGTGGAAAAATACACCGAAACGTATTTTAACTGATAAATAAAGACAATAAATGACTGAAACCCAGGAATTAATTTTGATTTGGAATTGAAACAGTCAGGAAAGTATAAACAATTTGTGTGTAACGTTACTGTTGGAAACTGAAGAGTTTTTTGGAGTTTTAAGAAATGCGTGCTTAAAAGCGCTTAAAACTCAGCAGCTTTACATGCGAATTTTTAATTTAACTAGTCATCAAATGCGTAAAAAACACTGATTTTCATCATAAAGCGGACAAATACAGAGCCGGTCCCTTCGACGCAAAAGTGTATGCAAATAGCGGCCTTTTGAAAGATCGGACGGAATCGGCTCACTTACTTACCTTCGACAAACATCCAAAAAAACGTGGTGATGTGGAAATAATGGAGAAGGGTCACGACAAAAACGCACGTAACGGCCATGTGCTCTCGGAAGTTTAACTGAAAATTCAAAGAATCGCTTCAGTTACATTTGTTTGTGAATCCCCAAGTGTTTCGAGTAGGGTTCAATTTTGGGGGCGAAAACTTACCCCGATCAGAATGGCGATCCACATGCAGTAAGTGAGAAGATACGACCAGAGAAGGTTCATGTGTATTTTGTTGCGCAAACATCTCAGCTCCCTGAAACATATTGGCCTGATGAGCGACGAGAAAATACTCATAAGCGATTAAAGTTCAGAGAGTATTTTTGAGTGGCAAAATCAAACAGTTTCGCTGAAAACCACTACTTCGAGTCCAGTGATTTGGCCATTCATCAATTGCCAAAATAACCCCGTCAAATGTACAATACATTTTCCTTAGCGCCGTTTTTCTTTCAAAGTGGTTGCGAATAAATTCCTTGTTCCATATTATACATCAAAAGCTCTCCAGAAATCCCGGCTAATTTATGATCTGTTTGATAAAACCCGGCGCCAGCCACAGTTCGGCAAAGGCTGGAGCGGGATTTGTTGCCAGGTTGGGTATTTTTTTTCTGGAAAAAGCGCCCTAATTATTTCGTTAATTTCCGTTCTAAAGCAACGAATCCGTTAAGAGAACAAAGAATATTTTTACATTGTATATTCTTTCCTGACTGTGCTTAAATTCCGAATCAAATTTATTCCTGGGTTTCAGTCATTTATTGCCTCTATTTATCAATCAAAATACGTTTCGGTGTATTTTTCCACCATCATCAGTTTTCATGTGTAGCGTTGTTGTTGCTTTAAGCCTTGGCATGCATTTTTTGGCAAAAATTCAAATAATTGAATCAAAACGCTTTGCTTCTGATTTTAAAGCATTTTTTGCACCAAAATTGATAATTTTCTCGAAAACCATGTTCGCTTTAACCGTTTGACTAGCGAATTTAAAAAAATCAATAATTATACCAAAACATTTTGGATTTTTCAAAGGAAAAACCCAAAATGAAATTAAGTGTTGCTTTCCTGCACTCGCTTTTTTCTTCAATCAAAACGCTTTGGTTCTGATTTTAAAGCATTTTTTGGACCAAAATTGATAATTTTCTCGAAAACCATGTTCGCTTTAACCATTTAACTAGCGAATTTAAAAAAATCGATAATTATACCAAAACATTTTGGATTTTTCAAAGGAAAAACCCAAAATGAAATTAACAGTGTTGCTTTCCTGCACTCGCTTTTTTCTTCAATCAAAACGCTTTGGTTCGGAATTTAAATAGCGATTTAAAAAAAAATCGTATAATTATACCAAAACATTTTGGATTTTTCAAAGGAAAAACCCAAAATGAAATTAACTTGATAAATAGAGACAATAAATGACTGAAACCCAGGAATGAATTTGATTTGGAATATTTTTACAGTGAGTAAGTCCCAGAAGAACTTTCAAACCAGCCTTTCAAATTCTGCCGTTTGTTTTTCTTTTTAGAAAAAACTTGCCAACTTTATTTATTAAAAAAATTCAATTCCTTCGACTTACTTGAAATACGAAAAAATAAAAATGGCTACAGCCAAAGTAATGGAGCTGATGATGTAGCCGATCAAGTAGATATTGCTCTGAGTCTCCACACTGGTCGGGTAGATGTCCAGCTCAGCGCAGGCATCATAAGACGATTTGCTCCAGGTGCCGTTCGCAAAACACTTTCTGGTCACATTTTCTGCAAAGAAAAGCCACATAAAGCATAAATCTCATTATCTTGTGGCGTCAGCTGGAAACTTCCCAAAATGCAACAATTGATGCATAAAATGATGCGAAACACGGTCCTTTTAACGTTCTGCAGCGAATATATTGCGTGCCTCAACTTGTTTCGCATAATGCGAATTCGCAAATTAACGCATTTGACAATATGTTTGGGGAAAATGCGTTTTCGTTGCCGACTAAACTCCGCGGACTGTTTTAAAGCAATTTGCGAATCTATTTGTTCATCAATGCCCAATGGAAACAGTCGCACAACGTTGGAAATTGAAATGTTTTCCATTATTAGCAGCCTGGATATTGTACATGGCATTTATTAATTTGCTCCATCGAGAGCGCTTTTTCAAAGGTAAATATTGCTTCGCAAATCATGTAAAAAATGCTACCGGCATTAACAAATCGGGCACATAGAACAAGCAAATTTGCGCACATTTTTTACCGATATTTATCACTTGCTGCATATTAACTTCAAAATCAAGTTTTAGGTCGACTTCCATTAAACATTTTTTTGCAATTTTCCCTAAATTCCAAACAAAACTTCAATTAAAATTACAGTCCGTTGCGCAAATTGATTACCTAAAAAAATTGCAGTTAATTTAAATATTAAATAACAAATCCATGTACAATTTCAAATAAAAGAGCGGATATTCCATAAATGAACCTCGTGTTGTTTTATTCACTTTAATGGAAAGTAAACCGTATTATAAAATCCGTTTATTGGCTCTAATAGCAATTTGATGTTCCACATTTTACGACAAGAAACGTAAAGACGGCAAGTTCCTCCACATGAATTATATTATTGACTTTGAGTTGCTCTTAACTCATCTATCTATAGGAATATTTACTCCGGATCCGAGGATCCATCGACTGGGAAAATAAGGCCGTTTAGATTCAATTGGAAACCGCAAAGTTCCAGGTTTATTTGTTCGGTTTATTAACTATCGAACCTTCAGGGCAAGTAGAATACATTATAAGTCTCTACAGGGTGTCGCGCAATAAGTGCTTTCGGTTAAAAACAGCCAACAGAGCCGCCAAACTTTGCTAACAATCGGGAAACAGCGGTTTTGAACCCAATTTTACTGGTTGAATTTACGAGCTTGCACACATCGGTGCTCAGATTTTGAACACCCTGTATGGTAGAGGCACAAGAAAACTGTTTCTATATAGTTTGGAGTCTAACTTCAAAAAGTTTTCTTCCTTGACACCGGCGAAATGAACCGTTTTTCAGAAAATACATATTATTTGATAGCAAATAAATCTTTCTAAGGGAGAGGACATCGACTTAATAACCAGAGTTATGTATTATCTTTAGTAAAAATCAAATTTTGAACATAACAAACATAAAAAAATAAATTTTGAACATTTATAAGTAATAATTTTTTTCTGCAAAAATATCCCATCGACATGATCGTCGTCTTGAGCTGTATTTGACTGAAAAATCCGAATTTTGCATCAAAATTGCAATTCACTAAATGGTTTTCGAGAAAATTAACAATTTTGGTCCAAAAAATGCTTTAAAATCAGAACCAAAGCGTTTTGATTTAAGAAAAAAGCGAGTGCAGAAAGGCAACACTGTTAATTTCATTTTGGGTTTTTCCTATGAAAAATCAAAAATGTTTTGGTATAATTATCGATTTTTTTAAATTTTTTAGTTAAATGGTTAAAGCGAACATGGTTTTCGGGAAAATTAACAATTTTGGTCCAAAAAATGCTTTAAAATCAGAACCAAAGCGTTTTATTTAAGAAAAAAGCGAGTGCAGGAAAGCAACACTGTTAATTTCATTTTGGGTTTTTACTTTGAAAAATCAAAAATGTCTTGGTATAATTATCGATTTTTTTAAATTCTCTAGTCAAATGGTTAAAGCGAACATGGTTTTCGAGAAAATTAACAATTTTGGTCCAAAAAATGCTTTAAAATCAGAACCAAAGCGTTTCGATTTAAGAAAAAAGCGAGTGCAGGAAAGCAACACTGTTAATTTCATTTTGGGTTTTTCCTTTGAAAAATCCAAAATGTTTTGGTATAATTATCGATTTTTTWAAATTCGCTAGTCAAATGGTTAAARCGAACATAGTTTTAGAGAAAATTTACAATTTTGGTCCAAAAAATGATTTAAAATAAAAAAGAACCGAAAACYTTGRGGCTTTTCGCACCTAAATTTGTGATGGTAATCACATTGCGAATCGAAAATTAACGCCAAATAAAGAAGCCCCAGGCCCTTGTAAAAAATATATATACATATTGAGAAAAAAAAGGTCGTTTTCCATTCAAAGCCCAAAGCAAATTGCCCTTTATTGGACTTAATCCATGACATGAATAATAATCAATGGGAAATCTCCATGAGGCAATACCGGCAGGAATTTTGATCAGTTTTTAATAACTGCTCGTTAAACAATGGATGCGAAACCTTGCAATTTCCATTATGATTTCCATCGGATACTAATAAAAACATTTCATTCTAATTTGGGCGTTCGTGGATTTGCGTTTTTCACCTAAATTTGGAGCGCTTGATTGTTTGCTGATAAATGAAGTGCTGAGCAAAATGCAACAAAAATAAGATCACAAAAAGAGAAAAGTTTCAAATTGGCGTAAACAGTATTCGGGTGGTGGTGGGAAACTAAACAGTAATCAACCAGGTACTTGTAATTACTCAAATCGTGTTTGCTTTCGCGGAGTTTCACTAATTCTCCACAAAACCCCGGCGAATTTGCAGTTTCCACTTCGATCGAATCAAGCACCGTTAATTAAATTTGTTGCAACTTTGGGTCAAGCATTTTCTTGTTAATTTAATCGCTTTTTCTCTTGGCCGGTCGTTTATAACTCGATCTTTCCATGATTTGATTGCCTTTCAACTCACTGCTCAAGAACTAACGGCTCCCTGATGACCCTTCAGCCACGACACGGAAAATTATGATTATTATAGCCTACTTTATTGGCGATTCGTGATCCAATCTGTTGAGCCATATTTCGAACAACAGAACCGCTGGAAAAAGTGGAAAAAGCGACATGTGGGATATACATGTCGGGCCACCAACGAAGTCACGTTTTCTGCTGTTTTTATGAGGATATGCTGGATATTTCCAGGTTCTATTTGAAGAAAATTGTTTATTCAGGACTATCACATTATATGAAAAGATATAACGTATGTAATGTATATGTAACGAGACAGAAATGATGTTTTTCTTCAAGGATTAAGGTGCAATAAAGCGGTTTGTTCAGCGTTGACAGAGTTTTTTTAAAATATATTGCAATCCGGATTCGGATGAAAAAGACCCGGCGTTAGACGGAGCATCTGGAATTGTGTTGTGTCACGTTAACATCATCCATTATAAGGTGAAACGCGATGTTATTTTCCCAACCCTTATGAGACTTTCATTAGACAATACTCTATATTCCTCCAGTGGAACATCTGGAAATCTTTGCGAAGCTCCCCAAAGACAAAGTCGACAGATTTTCCGTTTCTGTTTTTTTAGGATTAAATCCTGCGATAAAACTGTACATTCAGAGACCCGAATTTCAGATAAAGAACGAAACCTAATGTGGATGGCAACATATATCAAGATTGAAATCGAATAGAGCCTGCTCTATTTCACAAAACGACAGCGGATTATCGGTTTTATGTCCGAGCGCATTTTCTGCATTGCCGGACGAAACTGGCACGAATAAATAAATAACAAAATCTACACCGTAAATAAATATGAATCTTCCCGGGTCAACTTTGCTCGCAATTTAATATAAATGATTCCAACGAAGATTGATAAACCTTCGCAGTTTTTTGCAGTCAAGTCAAAGAACTGGTCGGTTCTCTTGTTCGCGTTTGAAAATCGTTGTAAGTCCAATCCGCAAGAGCGTAAAAACAAATGGGTTTCCATGAAAAATTCATATGGGAAACAAACTTTCGCCATCACGTTTCGAGGGTTCCGCGATGCAAAATGCCGCACAACAAATAACTGTCGATTTCGAAACCGACGTGAACCAGGAAACAAATACGCGCCAGATTCGCCCTATTTGTTTCCACAGAGATTCACACCTCCTTAACTTGTTCAAACATGTCAGGTAATCGGGCGTGACACAAACTCAATAATGCGGCCTCATTGAATCGAAAAAGCTATTTTTATTCGCTGAAAATAGCCCAAAAATCGGCAGAGTATCTTCATGATGGGAAAATTATACTTTTATGACCAAGGGATACAGTGTGCTCGTTTTACATCGAGATTGAACATCAAATATCAAATTGATCAGAAGCGGTTTCGAGGGAATACTAAAGAGCTTTGCAATTTTTTTGAAACAAGAGTTACCATTTTCATCATTTGAGAGTTACCCGATATTAATCTACTACTCAATAATGCGGTTGGTGCTGCACCAAATGCAGCGAAATTCTCACTTAATTCGCTTTGCTGTAGCAACGACAAGGGGGCAGTGGGGCGATGCGCGGGCGATCAAAGGAGCGCATAGAGCACGCTTGTGTGACCCAGATTAAGTAATAATTCAAGTTGCTGCCCCCGTAGGATGGAAAGTTACGGCTTTTTAAAGACGATCGTGCTGTTGAGCAAAAAATGTCAATTTTTCATGTGTAGTTACAATGGGCGGAAAAATCAG